GCATAGGCTGGTGATACCCCAAATGGGAGTTCTGTATATTGATATAAACCCTTATGGGTATTAATTGTAGTGTACTTCTGGGACTCCTCATCCTGTTGTAATTGCAGGTAGGTATGGCTTATGTCCAGCTTCATAAAGGACACCCACCCACCCCACCACCCCACCACCCCACCAGCTTTGCATACAAGTCCTCTATGCAAAGAATAGAGTATTTATCCAGCTGCGAGAAGCAGTTTACCATTTACTTAAAATCCCCAGAAAAGCGAACTGACACCTCAGGCTTCACAATTGGTATGACCAGTGCTGCCCATTCTGTAAACTGCTCTGGTTTGATGGTTCCTTCGCTCTCCAGCCTCCTGATTCCCACCTCTACTTTTGCCCACAAAGCAAATGGCACCGGGCAGGTCTTGCAAAATCACAGAATTGCTTCCTAGCCAACATGTAAAGTGGCTTTGGCCCCTTTGATAGTCCCAAGCCCTTCCTGAAATACTCCTGGGTATTTCCCAAAATCAAAAGGTGTTGAGTCCATCAAGAGGCATAGAGTCATAGAGTCATAGAGTCCTACAGCACAGAGACAGGCCCTTTGGCCCGACCTGGTCCATGCCGACCAAAATGTCCATCCACTCTAACCCCATTTCCCTGCACTTGGCCCATATCCTTCTAAACTTTTCCTATCCATGTATTTGTCCAAATGCCTTTTAAATGTTGTTAATGTACCCACCTCAACCACTTCCGCTGGCCGCTCATTGCATATGCATACCACCCTCTGTAAAAAAGTTGCCCGTAAGGTTCCTGTTTATTCTTTCCCCTCTTATTTCTTGCCATCTTATCAAGGTGAATCTTTCTCAACCAATTCCATCCCAATAGGCTTGGGCCTGAGCCTTTTACTACCATCAATGGTAGTTGTACCAACTGCTTCTCATAAGAGGCTAGAATCAAAGTCATATCCTTAATCTGCGACAGTTCCCCAGTGTATGTTCTCAATCTGGCTGAGGTCTTGCACAAACGTAAGGGTTGGAGACCCGAGCGAATCTTGTTCAAGACAGATTCTGCAACCACAGCTACAGCTGCACCAGTATCGGCCTCCATGGGAACTGGGTGACCATTTAACCAAACACTAATTTTAATTGGTTCTGATTTGGGTGTCACTAAGCAATTTAATTGTTCCAACCCACATGTAGTGGGACTTTCTAGGGTGTGCACTCTCCTGGGTACCAGCCTACAAGTTTTCCCACTCCAGTCAGTCCTTGTAGGACTCCTTTGCTGTCTCGAGTCCACATACTGGCAGCATCTACAATGGCCCACAGAACTTTTTAGCCACTTGGCCAAGGCTCAGCTTTGTTGTGGGGCTCTGCTGTTGGTTGACCTAGAGTCCCTCTGCTAAGGATATGCCATGCATGAGGCTGTGCGAGCACCTACACTCAAGTGGTGTTCCCCAAGCTCAGTCAGACAGGTAAGGGTGTCCACTTCCACTGGGATGCCCTGTAGCTCCCATGCTCCACTTGTCACATTTTCTAATGCCAAGGCCAGCTGTAGTGCCTGTTTGAAGTCCAGTTGGGCTTCAGCTAGTAGGCACTTCCACATGGTTACATCATTAATACCACATACCAAATGGTCTCAGTATCTTATTCAGGGTTAACCCAAAATCACATGCCCTCTGCCAGTCATATTAACCATGTTAAAAATCCCAAAACAGATTCCCTTGGTTCTGTAACAGCTGAATAAAACTGATAGCATGTCAGAATTAGAGGAGGTTTGGGGTCATAATATTCCTTAACAAACTCTCAACTTTTGGAAGGTTTCAGTGTCTGGTGCCTCTGGGAAAGTTAAGCCCCTTGTAGCCAAAAATGCTGCAGGCCCACATACAGTCAGAAGGATTACTCATTGTTTTTCATCTGCCCCAATGTCAGTTGCCTGGAAAATATCACATCCTTTCCACATACTGGGCCTAGTCTTTGAAAGCAGGGTCAAATGAGACAAGTTTCCCAAATGGAGGCATGCTGCCAGAAATGCTTACCCCCAACTCCACATTGCAAGCGAATGTTCTTCAGACACATCCTGTTTTCTCCTATCACCACTGAAATAACAGCAGAGACCAGTGTCCTGTCACCAAGTCACCCTTTATTCACTAGTGCACAGCACATTGACTATGGCCCAACCAGCTCAGAGCCTGTCCTCAACTGAGGAGATTCTAATCTCCTGGTTATATTGGTCAGCCAGGGCTTTCCTGATTGGCCCAGGTTAACTACCCTAATCAATGACCTCATAGTCAATGAGATCAACATGGTTCCAATCACTACAGATATAAGTAACTGAGTAGATAAAGGTGGACTAATGGCTGTAATATATTGGTTTCCAAAAAACATTCAATGAGGTGCTGCATATGAAGTTATTACATGAGAAAGAGACTCATGAAATTGGGAGTAACATTTTGCCAAGGCTTAAAGATTAAATAGTGTAAATGAAGCAGAGATTAGAAAAAGTGGGACAGTTTTGGGTTGGCAGACTATTGCTATTTGTAATCTATATTAATGACTAAGGTGATAGGACTGAATACATTGCATGTGAGTTTGCTGATGGTACAAAGCTCATTGGGAATGTAATCCATGAGGAGGATACAAAGATTGAAGAGGGACACAGTCAGGTTAAGAACATAGAACATAGAATATAGAACTGTACAGCACAGTACAGGCCCTTCGGCCCATGATGTTGTGCCAAACTTTTACCCTAAACCTAAGGTCTATCTAACCTCCACCCCTACCTTATACTATCATTCATATGCCTATCTAATTGCTGCTTAAATGCCCCTAATAAGGCCAACTCAACTACCCTCTCCGGCAATGTATTCCACGCCCTGACCACTCTCTGAGTAAAGAACCTACCTTTGACGTCTCCCTTATATCTACCTCCACTCACTTTAAAACTATGCCCCCTCATAATAGCTACTCCCACCCCAGGAAAAAGTCTCTGGCTATCCACTCTATCTATACCTTTGATCATTTTGTACACCTCTATCAAGTCACCTCTCATCCTTCGTTGTTCTAAAGAGAAAAGCCCTAGCTCTCTCAACCTTTCCTCGTAAGACCTTCCCTCCACTCCACGCAACATCCTGGTAAATCTCTTCTGCACCTTTTCCACGCTTCCACATCTTTCCTGTAATGAGTTGACCAGAATTGGGCACAATATTTCAGATGTGGCCGAACCAGGCTTTTGTATAGCTGGAGCATAACTTCACGGCTCTTGAACTCAATCCCTCTATTAATGAAAGCTAACACACCATACGCCTTCTTAACAACTCTATCCACCTGGGTGGTAGCTTTCAGGGAACTGTGGACATGAACCCCGAGATCCCTCTGCTCCTCCACACTGCCAAGAGTCTTTCCGTTAACCCTGTATTCTGCTTTCAAATTTGTCCTTCCAAAATGAATCACTTCAAACTTTTCAGGGTTAAACTCCATCTGCCACTTCTCAGCCCAGCTCTGCATCCTATCAATGTCCCTTTGTAACCTAGAACAGCCCTCCGCACTATCCACAACTCGACCCACCTTCGTATCGTCCGCGAACTTACTAATCCACCCTTCCACTCCTACATGCAAATCACTTACAAAAATCACAAATAGAAGAGGACCCAGAACAGATCCTTGTGGTACACCACTCGTAACTGAGCACCATGATGAATATTTTCCGACCACTATCACCCTTTGTCTTCTCAGGGTCAGCCAATTCTGAATCCAATCTGCCACATTTCCCCCTATCCCATGCCTCCTTACTTTCTGCATGAGCCTACCACGGGGAACCTTATCAAACGCCTTACTTAAATCCATGCACTACCTTCATCCACGTGTTTGGTCAGCTCTTCAAAGAATTCAATAAGGTTTGTGAGGCATGATCAACCCCTCACAAATCCATGCTGACTATGTTAAGCAGACAGGATGGAGATAGCAGGCAGAGTATAATAGGGGAAAGTATACAATTATTAACTTTAGCGGGAACAATATAAAAGCAAAATAAATGTTAAATTATGACAAACTGAAATTTGATTTAGTGACAGATCTGGGCATCCTTGTATAACATGTCTGAATGTGGTAGGACTGAAAAACATGGATCTGATCCAACTGGTTGCGGAATTGCTCAATACCTTTGACTGTGCGCTAACTTTTGTTGAATGTTGTACCTTACTAAATCGCGCAGAGACTGTTTCAACTTGTGAGCAACTGGGAATGAGGCGCGTAAATAAAAGACCAAAAGTAAGACTTGCATTTATACAGTACTTCTCACAATCATTGGAAGTATGCTTAGCAAACTCCTATAAATAGCATTTAGACAATCTGTTTCAATGAGATTGTTTGAGCGATGATGGCCAGGAAACTGGACACCTTTGTAAGACATTTGCCTGGAGATCGTCTGTAGTTTTGGAGGAACGTTTTTACACAGGGAGTGACTAGAACGTACAACTCTCCATCAAGTGGAGTCAGTCACTCGAGGCAGCATCAGTGCATTTAAACAGAGGTTTGATATACGTGAGACAGAGAGGGGAACAGGAAGGATGTGAGGGCAGGTGAGAAAAGATTATTTGTGTAGAAGGGGCCTTGCGTAAGGTGACACTGGCAGAAATCAAGTGGGTAGAGTTACATATCTCTGTAAATTTTCTGAAATTCTAGTTGATAGTGAGGGACTGGGAGGGGGAGAGGAGTGTAATTGTATGACTGGCCATGGGCAGTGTAGCTCTGCCAACTGGGAAAATGATGGGGCAAGGGAAAGCCAGCATGGCCATGGCGGGGAAAGTGTTACTAACTGGGGGTGGGTTGGGGGGAAGGAATAGATGAGCTGGGTGAGAGAGAGAGAGAGAGAGAGGAGGAACAGTGACTGAGACCCCTGATTGCTGCTTTTTCTTCTTGTTGGTTGGGGTGAGGACCCTGCAGGGTAACAGTGTAGTGATTTTGGAGGAGTCTTAGTTCCTTGGTGTTTCACTTCACCGTGTGTGGTTCTTTCTTCCCCAGGTGTATGCGATATTGGTGAGTCACCCACCTGGTCCAAGTGACCACCTCACCCCTACCCCTGTGTCTTACACAGCTGGCTTCTATCGAATTCCTGTCATTGGCTTGACCACACGCATGTCAATATATTCAGATAAGGTAAGGAATACTCAATTAAAACTGAGCAATTTGTCTTGTGATTTAATCTGTCAGTACTGATCACCTCATTATAACACCTGGGCAGAAAATCAGCGGCTGCATAGCAAAGGGACATTTGATCCCATGCTGTTTGCATCTCTCCCTGGGGACCTTGCATTCTCTATGCAAACCCTTGAATTACTGAATAAGATTTTGCTCATAGTTTGTACAAAAGCTGCAGTGAGGGCTGTTTACTCAGCCTGTATTGGACACTGAGACATTAGTATAATAGATTATATATTGATAGCTAATGTGGGAGTAGGAGGACCACCTGCAGATCACATTATCCCCAAGAAACTAGGCAACAGGTTACAACAAATACACAAATTATGTTTATAATAATGAATTCAGAATGTGACTGGTGAACTATCTTAAGTGAACTTTCATGAGATGTTTCTACACTGGAGAGATTTTTCCTCGGGATTTTATACTTCCTTCTTTTGAATGGATCTGTGTATCAGCCAGTTTTTGGTTGGTAGACAGTTCCAGCTCTTCTGGGTCCAGCTGGCGGTCAATCAGTCGCGGGATTAGTTCACTGTAGATTGACTCACAATCTGCTTCAGCAGCAGCTGTGCAGTGCATGCATGGCCTCAATGCAGCTGCTCAGTATATGCATGACCACAGTGCAGTTGTGCAGTATATGCATGGCCTTAATGCAGCTGTGCAGTGCATGCATGGCCTCAATGCAGTTGTGCTTTGCATGCATGGCCTCAATGCAACTGTGCAGTGCATGCATGGCCTCAATGCAGTTGTGAAGTACGTGCATGGCCTCAATGCAACTGTGCAGTAAAAATGACCATACTGTGGCTGGGTAGTACATGCATGAGTACACTGAAATTGCCCAGTGCTTGTACAAAACACTGCAGTTGTGCAGTTCATGCAGGACCTCGGTGCAGCCTTGTAACACATGTATAATATCATTGCAATTGTATAGTGCATGCATGAGATCACTGTAGTTGTGAAATATATGTATACATCACTGCAGTACATGCATGACTACAGTGCAGTTGTGCAGGACATGCACAATCACACATTAGTTGTGCAGTTCATGCATGAGATCACTGAAGCTGTGCAACACATGTAAAGTCATTGCAGTGTGTTCTGCGTCCATGATATCACTGCAGCCTTACAGTACATGTATAAAATCACTGCAGTACACACGTGACCTCATTGCAACTTTGCAGTACATATATTGCTTTGCTGCGGTTGTGTAATGGATGCATGACTGCATGGGAATATAGGAAGAGGATTTGTCCATTTAGCCCCTTAAGCCTGGTCTGCGATCAATGAGGATCTAAAAAATGGCAGATAGAGTTCAATCTGGATAAATGCAAGGTATTGCATTTTCGTACAAGGGTAGGACTTATACGTTAGTGGTTGGGCCTTGGGTAGTGTTGTAGAACAGAAGGACCTAGGGGTGCAGGTACATAATTCTTTGAAGTTTACATCACATATAGACAGAGTGGTTAAAAAGGCATTTAGCACGCTTGCCTTCATTGCTCAGTCCTTTGAGTATATGAGTTGGGAAGTCATGTTGAGGCTATACAGGACATTGGTGAGGTCTATTCTGGAATACTGTGTCCAGTTCTGGTCGCCCAGATATAGGAAGGATATTATTAAGCTGGGGAGGGTTCAAAAGAGATTTAGCAGGGATGTTGCTGGGTATGGAAGGTTTGAGTATTAAAGAAAGGTTGGATAGGCTGGGTCTTTTTTTCACTGGAGCATAGGAGGTTGAGAGGCAACCTCATAGAAGTTTATAAAATAATGAGGGGTATAGCTAGAATTAAAGGTAGCTGCCTTTTCCCTGAGATTTGGGATTTCAAAACTAGGGGACACATTTTTAAGGTGAGAGGAGAGAGATTTACAAAAGACACAAGGGGCAAATGTTTTACAGAGAGGGTGATTCATGTGTGGAATGAACTTCCTGAGGAAGTGGTGGATGCAGGTACAATTACAATGTTCAAAAGACATTTAGATAAGTTCATGAATAGGAAAGGTTTGAAGGGATATGGGCTGGGAGCAGACAGGTGGGACTAGTTTAGTTTGGGATTATGTTCAGCATGGACTAGTTGGACCGAAGGGTCTGTTTCCGTGCAGTATGCCTGTCTGGTTATTATGTGATTTGTACATATTCCTTCACATCTTTGGGTAACAAAAGCCAAGCAATTTCAGTTTTAACAACTGACTGAATAACAAGTGCTGCATTTGAGAGGAGATTACAAATTTCCTTCCTAGTTTCATTCCTGAAAATTTGGACTCACTTTTAGACTCTGTCTCCTGGTCCTTGACTGTCTGTGCAGTGGGAATAATTTCTCTGAGGACGTTGCGCAGCTGAAGCATAGCTGGTACATTGTTATCCCTTTGTATTCTAACCCTCCAGATATTCCATTCACTTTGTTCATTTTCCTCTCTGCTTGTCCATCTGTTGTTGAGTGTAGACAAGTCAGAGATCGATAGGTTTGAAGTTACTAATAACACCAAGGGGTATGGACAAGGTGCCGGAATTGAGGTAGATGATTAACCAAAATGACACAATAGAATGGCAGCACAAACATGAGGGGCTGAGTGGACTCCTCCTTGTCTGTTTTATGACAGATTTAAAAACTTTCTGGAAACCAGATAAATAAGATCCACACACATTCCTCACATTCTGCAAACAACTCCATCAGGCTCATCAGGAATCTGCCCTTTAAAAATCCCTGCTGACTCTCTCTCTCTGCTCATTCAGCGGCTGGGAAGTGAATGGTGAGTAACTCCTATTACTCAGAAGTGTGACGGAATACTCCCCACTTGCCTGGATGGGTGCAGTTCCAACAACACTCAAGAAGCTTGGCACCATCCAAGACGAGGAAGCCCATTTGACATCTACTGTTTTCACCACTGACACACAGTAACAACCGTGTGTGCTGTAGATGCATTGCAGAAATTCACCAAAGAATCTTTGACAACACCTTTCAAGCCTCTACCACTCAGAAGGACAAGGGCAGCAGATACATGGGAACACCATCCCCTGCAAGTTCACCTCCAAGCCACTCACCATCCTGACTTGGAAATATAGTGCCAGCCATTGTCGCTGGGTCAAAATCCTGCAATTCCCTCCCTAAGGGCATTGTGGGCCAACCTACAGCACATGGACTGCAGCAGTTCAAGAAGGCAGCTCACCCCCACTTTCTCCCAGGGCAACTATGGACAGGAAGCAACTTCTGGCTTTGACGCCATTCCCGCATCCTATGAAAGAATAAATAAAAGCAAGATATTAAGGAAACAGGTTATAAAAACATTAAATAAAAACCAAAATAATTGTGGATGCTGTAAATCAGGAACAAAAACAAAGTTGCTGGAAAAGCCCAGCAGGCCTGGCTGCATCTGTGAAGGGAAAAACAGAGTTAACGTTTCGAGTCCAGTTCTGAGGAAGGGTCACCGGACCCGAAACATTAACTCTGTTTTTTCCTTCACAGATGATGCCAGACCTGTTGGGCATTTCCAGCAACATTGTTTTTGTCATAAAAACATTGCTTAATTTTGCTTGAATATTAAAGGTTGAGGGGTGAAGTTGCCGAATGGTTCAGGATGTTTAAAGGATTCAGTATATTTATGCCTTTGGGAGTGAGAATGAGAATATGTAGATAGAACATGAAATTTGAGCCATTCATATGCAAACTCAGGAAGCACCTTTACATACAAACAGTATTCACAATTAGGAATTCTCCCTGATAATATTGTGGGATAATTGGAGCTTTCAAGTTTGAGGTTGACAGATTTTTGATGAGTATACAAGCATATAATTGGGAAATGTTCCTATGCTGAAATGGTGTTAGTGATGATGCATTTTGGCAAATCTTACAGGAAGGAGGACAGAGCCTGTGACTGCAGCTGCTCTAACCCTGGAGATATTGGACCCAGTGTTTGATGCTTGTGACTGGGTCACCAGGTGAATGGGGAAGCCTATGTCAGCGTGACCCTGTTACGCCGGCGAGACTCTGTGGCTGACAGACGCTGTGACTGAGGGACCCTGTGTCAGGGAGACCTTGTGACTGAGGGACCCTGTATCAGGGGGACCCGGTGTCAGGGATCTCTGTGGCTGAGGGACTGTGTGATTGAGAGACCCTGTTTCAGGGAGAACCTGTGATTGAGGGACCCTGTGTCAAGGGGACCCTGTGACTGAGGGACCCTGTGACTGAGGGACCCTGTGACTGAGGGACCCTGTGTCTGAGGGACCCTGTGACTGAGGGACACTGTGCCAGGGGAGTGCTATGTCAGGGAGGACACTGTGTCTGGAAGGTCCTGTGTTGAGGGAACAGTGTGAGTGGAGATTGTGTCTAGGCAGTTTGATGTGATGTAACTATTTGCTGACTGCCCCTGTGCTATTCCTACAGAGTATCCATCTGTCTTTTCTCCGCACTGTGCCACCGTACTCCCATCAAGCGCATGTCTGGTTTGAAATGATGAGGCGTTTCCGTTGGGGACACATCATTCTGGTGGTTAGTAATGACCATGAGGGCCGGGCAGCACAGAAGAAGCTGGAGACGCTCCTGGAAGAAAAGGAATCAAAGGTTAGTGCATGGCCTTTGTGTCACATCCCGACTGTTGTGTGTATCTGTAGATATCTGTACGTGAACACATTTTCTCTCCATTTTGAACATGGCTAACATTGCTTTAAGCATCTACGGTGTCTTGAGTGCTACCTGACAAAACTTGTATTTATCATTCCACGTGCTTCATCGTAGTCAAAATCTGCTACGTGTAATCAGCGACAGGATGAGAGCCGTATACTGGAGCTGTGCAAAAAAAAAACAACCTGCAGCTCTTCTTAAAGTCGGATCATAGCCCTAACCTCCACAGACCTTAACCAATCATATGGCATCAGGATCATCCCACTGTCAACACACACTCTGCCAAGCATACCACTCAGTACAGGACAACTCCAATATGACCAGGGCATTGTATCTCTTTATATTCTGTCTGTCATAATTCCCATTCCAAGCCCAGTTAATAGGATGGATGTGAGGGAATGATTTTCATTAATAATGTGTAACCCCTGTCTGACCCCTGACCTCTGCCAGTCCAACGTCTCCTGAAGCCTCCCACTCACGGAATGTGGGGAATGAATGAATTCACCATTCCTGAACATTCCCGAAAGGTTGTCAATCCATCTCTGGCCCATTTTAATGCTAAGCAGTGTAGTAACAGCCATTGAAGAGCTGCTGAAACCCAGGAAAAGTCATTGCAACATCAAGTGTGTGATGCATGAATTAAATCATTAACATTCCCACTTCAGAATTTCTCTCATCACTACCCAGCTCCCACATGCACTCTCTCTCCCAGCCCAGCTACCTTCCTCCCGCCCTGCCTCCTGTAGCTCTGTCTCTCCTATTCCTTTCTTTTCCTCACCTCCAACCTCTCACGATTGTTTTTTTTTCACAGAGGGCAAAGTTCACTTGTGTTCCTTTCTCCAACTGACTGTCTCATTCAATTGATAGCAAACCATTAATTCTGGGTAAACAAGTGGGGGGAGTAAAACCTCACTGGTTAAAGGATTAATGAGAGCTGGGTAAGAGAGGACTAAAACAATTTGTTTAACATGGAAAGGCCTGTCAGAGCTAAGGTTTGTGTTCTTTCACCTTGCGACTTGTTAGGGTTAATGCTCTGCCAGGCAGAGTGAATAGTCCGTATTCTGATTAGTTTAGGAGGTAATGGCCTGGCAAAGGTCTTGGTTAATGTTTCAGCTGAATTGGGGTCCAGTTATCTTGGCCTGCTGTGTTCATCCAGCCCTGCACCTTGTTGTCTACCAGATGGATTGGTTATCATTCTGGATCAATGATTACTAATCGAGTTGGACTGGTAGTAATCTTTCAACAACATTTGGAGATGCTGGGTGACTCTCTTGGAGATGCTGGGTGACTCTCTTGGAGATTTCTGTCATTGCTGTTTAGAGATTGGATGGGGTGAGAAACTAATTGCTAAACTGGAGTGAGGGGGCCAGGATCCACATAGAGTCTGGAGTCAGTGTCTAGTTAGAGTGAAGGTCAGTGATATGAATTGAGTCAGTGAGATGTGAGTGATCTGGGTGGATTGAGGGATGAGTGATCTGAAAGGACTGAGGGGTCAGTGGTGAGAAATAGAGTGAAGGGCCAGAGATGTGAGTAGAATGAGTGGTCAGTGTCTGGTTGGAGTAAGTGTTCAGTGGTCTGTTAGGGTAAGGGGTCAGCGGTTAGGATGGAGTGAGGGTTCTGTCTCTGATTGGAGTGAAAAGTCAGTGTGCTGTTGCAATGACGGGTGAGTGTCTTTTTGGAATGAAGGGTCAATGATCCGGATTGAGTGTGGAATCGGTAATGTGGATTGAATGAGGGATCAGTGATCAGGATTGAGTGTGGAATCGGTAATGTGGATTGAGTGAGGCGTCAGTGATCCGGATTGAGTGTGGAATCGGTAATGTGGATTGAGTGAGGGGTCAGTGATCAGGATTGAGTGTGGAATCGGTAATGTGGATTGAGTGAGGGGTCAGTGATCAGGTTTGAGTGTGGAATTGTTAATGTGGATTGAGTGAGAGGTCAGCGATCAGGATTGAGTATGGAATCGGGATTGTGGATTGAGTGAGGGGTCAGTGATCAGGTTTGAGTGGGAGGTTGCTTATCCTTTTTTAATGATGACCATGAACTCATTGCTAATTGTCAGGAAAAACCCATCTGGTTCACTAATGTCCTATAGGGAAGGAAACTGCCATCCTTACCCGGACTAGCCTACATGTGACTCCCTTAACTGCCCTCTAGGCAATTAGGGATGGGCAATATGTGGTGCCTAGCCAGCGATGCCCTCATCCCATGAATGAATTTTTAAAAAATCCTGCAGTGATAGGTAGCCCATATCTGGATGTGTTTAGGTCTCCCTGATACAATGTGATGGATGTGTTAATGATCACGATGGAATGACAGCCTAGTACATAAGAACAGAAGAAATCGGAGCCAAAGTAGCTCTCCACTCCTCAAGCTTGCTCCACTGTTCAATACCATCATTGCTGATTTTTAAAATGCTATTCTCCCTACCTAGCCAATCCTCATATTTCCTGATTCCCCAATTATTCTTAAATCTGAATATATTCAAAGACCACAATTTATGGGGTGAAAACTTCACAAACATTTGAAAGATGAAATTTCTCATCAATTCGACCCCATATCCTGAGATTGTTCTCCCCCCTCAACTGCAACCCCCCCAACCGCTACCCTCCACACCCCATGTGGGTGAAATACAAACAAAAAGTACTAGAGAAACTCAGCAGGTCTTGCAGTATCTGTGGAGAGAGAAACAGAGTTAATGTTTTGAGCCTGGGATGACTCTTGTTCAGAGATGCTGTATCTATTTTTGTTAAGCCACTCAAACTCTTCCATGTTTCAATGAGATCATTTCCCTTTCTTACAAACAGCAGAGAACATTGGTCCACTGTACTCAACTCACAATACAGGGTTAACTTTCATCCCAGAAACTAACTGCGTGAACCTTCACTGGACTGTCTTAAAGGCAACTATATCTTTCATAATAAAAACAAACAAAAAATGCTGAACATCCACACCAAATCGGCTAGTGTCTGATATTATTTCCATTAGTTATGTTTCTCTCTCCACAGATTCTTCCTGAAATGCTGAGATTTTCCAGCATGTTCGATTTTTTTATCATAAGGTTTCCAACATTTGCAGTAAGTTGCTGAGGTGTACATAGTCTTACATAGTTAGGGAGATAAAGACCGTACACACTATTTCAAGTTTGGTCTCATTAAAACCCTACATGATTGTTCCTGGTTAAAATTATTCTAATTTTCTATTCTTACTTTCGAAGGTAAATAACTGTTCACTTTTCCGCATTAAGCTTCATTGGCCAACTTATTATTTGCTTACTCAACTTGGCTTTACCTCTTTGCAGCCTCTTTATACCTTCCTCACCTCACAGTTTAGTGTCCCACCTAATTTTATACCCCAACAAATTTGAGTACATTTAAGTCATTCATATAGATCGGAAATAACTGAGGCCCTAGCATTGTCTTTGAGCAATCCACTCATAACAACATGTCAACTTGAAAATGCCTCTACTCCCTGCTTCCTGTCCATTAACAAATTCTCTGTCCATTATTACCTCAACTCCATTAACTCTTATCTTATTCAATACATTTGTATGTGGAACCTAAAGAGTGCCTTTGAAAAGCCTGCGTATGCTCCATCTACTAATTCCCCATTATCCACTCTAGCAAATCACAAACACTCTAATGAATTTTTCAAATATGATTGCCATCTTGTAAAAGCACACTGGTGGTGTTGTTATCCGTAATCAGTTCCCAAGTGCATCGATAACACTTCCCCAATAATAAATCGCAGGACTTTCTTACTTTACAAAAGCAGAAAGAACTGCGGATGCTGTAAGTCAGAAACAAAAACAGAAGTTGCTGGAAAAGCTCAGCAGGTCTGGCAGCATCTGTGAAGAGAAATCAGAGTTAACGTTTCGGGTCCAGTGACCCGAATGGAGGAAAGGTCCCCGTACCCAAAACGTTAATTTTGACTCCTCTTTACAGATGCTGCCAGACCTGCTGAGCTTTTCATGCAAATTCCATTTTTGGCCCAGGATTTTCCTGACTGATGTCAGCCTGGCAGTCTTCTGTTTCTTCCTCACTTCTTTCTTGAATAACAATGTAACAAGTTGTTTGAAGTTTTTATGGTGAGAGTGGTAACGTCAAGAATGTTTACAATTACACCATTTGATTCTGAAAAGGACAACTGTTCTCTTTAAATTGTTGTTTTCACGAAGAACCATGAGCCTTTCGAGAGTTTGGGAAGTGTGCTCTGACCTGTCACCTCAAGGAATGACTTGAACAAGAAATTTGTACATAGTGAAGGATCTTACTGCTGATTGGATTGAAATGGTTCAGAGCATGTTAACATTCTTGCTGCTGATTAGTTGGCTGTACACAGTTACCTGAAATGCTGAGACCAATTTGTTATTTCAAGGAATACTTTTGTGGTAACACCTTTCTTCAGAGAAAATTGTACAGGATATAACTGTAAATATTCTTATGCAATGTTAGTTTTACTACATTTGCTCATTTCCAATCTGTGGGGATATTTTTGCAATGTAGGGAGTTTTGAAACATTCACAATGATGGTTTCCACTACTTTTGCAGCCTTAAATATATGATGGAATCTGTCAGGCTCAGAGGATTTGTTGGGTTTTAGTCCCATTGTGGGGGAGGGTTTCTGAGGTACTTTTTTTTTCTGCTGATTTTAATTACTTCAAGTAATTAAGCCATTTGTTCCTCAATATTTCAAGTATGTGTTTTGTGTCTTCTATCACAAAGTCAGACACAAAGTATTTATTTAACATTTCTGCTATTTCCTTACTCCCCATTAATAATTTGTCTTGCCTCAGTCTCTTTTTCAGTTGTCTTCCCTTTTATTGACTCATCGAGGCTTTTATAAATTTCTTTTGTATTTCTTGCTAGTTTACTCTTGTTTTTTTAAATTAACTTTTGCATCGAACTCTGCTAGTTTCTGAAAGCCTTCAGGCTTCCTAT